TCCTCCCCCTTCTTGTGAAATACTCTTCTCCCTAAACCCCCAGTTGGTTTCGCTACTCTTGACCTATCATCTTTAGATGACTATTCCCTGTGGCTTATTCAAAGGAAACTTCAAAAAAAAAAAAAAAACAATCAAATCATCAACAAAGAAAGAATAAGGAGATGCCGTCTTACATTGCACTAAACTCATAAAGGAACCAATTAGAAACGCTTCTAATTTTTATCTCAAGTCACTCCTTATAAAGCTGGAGCCACTTAAATGTTTCCCAAGATAGTACAGAAGAATGTGCCGCCCTTGTCGGCACCACTCTTGTGTTAGATTTTGTTGCTTTGTACACACTAGTTCTATGGGCAGCCACAGGTGGGCCCCTAATCTGAGACAAGCGCGTGACTTGTCACCTGACATCAGCAGGTAGAGTCAACTGATGTTTGACAGAGCTATTTATTTCCAGTAAATAGCACTATAAGTAAGCCCAAGACATGTTGATTTGGGGAAGAGTTTCAGCAACATACCTCTATGTAATTTTGAGCAGAACTTAAAGTTTTAATCCCTTGAACATGTGTTAGTTTAAAAAGATGTTATATATTGTGAAAAGCGAAAAAATTCAGATACAGAAAGACAAATACTCTACAATCTCGCATGTGTAATCTGAAAAAGTCAGGTACACAGAAGCAGAGGGTAGAATGGTGGTTTCGCCAGGGGTTGGTGGGGGTGGGAGATGGGAGGTGGGCATATGTTGGTCAAAAAATACAAATGTTCAGTTATGAGATGAGTAAGTTCCGGAGACATATTGCATAACATGCTGATTGTACAAATAATTGTATGTATTCATGGGGTACATAGAATTCATGTTTTGATGTGTGTACATTGAAGAATGACTATCAAGCTAGCTAACATCAACTCACATTTTCTGTAGTTATAGTATTTAAAGTCTATTATGTTAGCCATGTTGAAATTGCAATACATTGACTATGACATCATGTTGTACAATAGATCAAGAACTTACTCCTGTCCAAGTGAAACTTTGTACCCTTTGGCCAACATCCCCTTGTTACTCTCAGCCTCTGATAACCACCCCTGTACTCTCTACTTTGAGTTTGATATTAGAGAACAGAATGGTGGTTACCAGAGGCAGAGGGGAGGGGTGGATGGGGAAAGTGGAGATGTTGATCAAAGTACACAAAGTTTCATTTATTTACACAGGAGGAATAAATTCTAGTAACCTGTTGTACAGCACGGTGACCGTAGTTAATAACGTGTTGTATATTTCGAAATGGCTAAGAGTGTATTTTACATGTTCATTGCAAAGAAATAAGTATGTCAGGCAATGGATATATTAGCTTAATTCAATCTTTCCACAGGTACAGGTATGTGTATCCTATCACAAAATACCATATTGTTGTTAATTAAAGATTTAAAGTAAAATAAATAGAAAACATTAATAAAAGGATGCCATCATAGTCGCCTGCCTGGGTGGTCCACGTCTTGGTTTGCATCTGCTTTGACCCACCTTATTCAGACCCATCTCTCAACGCCATCACCATGACGGTGGCCATGAATTCACCGTCGCTTTACCAATATGCTCTTACTCGCCAATTTGAAGAAGTGCGCTCTGGAATATTTCTGTTTTCCATCCAGGTATCCCCCTGACACATGCCTACATTTCCTATAGGCTGAGATTCAAATAC